TGTTTATGTGGGAATTAACATCAAGAAAAGCACCATTTTGTTGTCGTTCACATGATGCACATTTAATTATAGATATCTTTAAAGGTATTAGTCCAGAGATTGTGAAGGGTACACCAGAGATTTATGTAAATTTAATGAAATCTTTTTGGCAAAGTGATCCCTCTAAAAGACCAACTAGTGAAGAAATAGGTGATATTCTTATTTACCAATGGAGTGTTTTTGAGGGAAATTCGGAAATCTATAAGATCTTCAAAAAGGCTAATAAGGAAATGGAAAATAATATAGAATTAGATGTATGAATGCAAGCATATGATATAAGTAGATCATTAAGTATACATATCAATACTGCAAAATTACTTTCAAGAGATATTAGAGAAGATGATTTAGCTATAGAATAGCTAGGTAAAATATTGATTTTTTAATTAAACTTAAAAACTAATAATAAATTAATAATTTTTAAATTAATTTATAGATTCTAATTCAGTTAAAATAGATGAAATCAGCGAGGAATTAGAAACAAATGATTTTAATTTAGAATTAAGGAAATATTTAAGCTGTTTGTCATTAAATTTTTTGTTTTTTATATTTATTTATCAAATATATTTTAAATTTATTGATCACTGAGATTATTTATAAAAAAAAATCCTTTTGTTTATAATCGTAACAGTCTGTTTATTAATAGATAGTTTATAATTTATTTTAACTTACATGGTTATTCAAGAGATGTTGAAAAAGTATTTTTTTATAAAGTTTGAATAATCAAAAATATTTTATAAATCTTAACTGTCATTTTTTTAAAAGCAACCTATGCTTTTTGGATACTGTGTTATTGATTTTCAATATTTTTTATTAATATCGATTTGTTTTATTTAATTTGATTTGATCAATAATGACTAATCCATTCTATTAATTAAACTGATAATCAGATCAGATCAAATATATATACCATAAAATAATAAAAAGGATGTAGATTTGATTCCTTATCTATCAAATGTATCTGAATGATTTATAGACCATTCAATTATTTGTTTTAGTCAAAGTCTTATATTTTCTTATCTATAATAATAAAATAATATAATAATAAAAATAAATAATATAATAATAATAATAATTATAATAACAAAAATATATAATGATAAAGATATAGTTTCAAGTTCTATTTTTTTTTTGTGGTGACTTCATTTACTATTTAAAATAAAATCATTTAATTTCCATTTTTTCAATTTCTCATTAAAATTCCATCTTTCATCCCTTTCATCATCATTTACCATGAATATCGCATCGTCGGTATCATTATTATTACCATCATCATTATTATCTGCATGTAAACCATCATGAATTCTTCTATAAATTTGAACTTAAAACTTTTAAAATTAAAAAATAATGTCGTAAATTTCTTCCCGTCCGATGTTACATCAATTATCTGGATTTAATTGAATTAATTAATTAATATCATTTTTATTACCAAGTGGGAGCATCCAAATTCATTAAAAAAAAATACTGGATCTGGTAGTTTGGTTGCATCACATGTTAATCTTATTATAAAATCTAAATTAAATATTATCATAAAAAAAAATTAAAAAAATAATATATCAGATAAAAATTAAATTATTTTATATTATATATGATAAACATTTTGAACTCCTTTTTCAATATATTTATCACTTTAGATCTTCATT